AGGGCACCTGGGTGGCGGTGTGCGACATGGGCAGGGTGCGGGGATGTGCGACATGGGGTAGGGAGCCCTGTGCCCTGTGCAGCCCCTGTTGGCAGCTCTGCCCTGCCCTGTCCTGTCCCTTGGCATGTGAGTGACAGGATGTGACTGGGACAGGATGGTAAAGGACTGAGGAAGAATTTGGCTGTCCATAGGAGGAGCCACGAAAGAGCCGAGCAGGCAGAGGGGAAAACCGTCTCATCAGAGACTTCCCGGGGCATTTCTGTGCATTGCGAGACTGGCAGAAACGCAGTTTGGTCAGGGTGGATGGGTGGATGTGTCAGGATGCAGGATAGCTGCAAAGAGGGCTACTAAGGCATGCTGCTTAGCAGAGGATGGCTGGGAATAAGGAATAAGAGGATGGCTGGGAATAAGGAACTGATTTGTGGTGACATTAAACTAGGATAAAGATCAGCCTCGATCTCTTCATCCCCTTGGGGAAGCTTGGTGAGCTTTGACTTGCAGTTCCTTATCCCAATGTTCCACCTAGCGACCTCACAGCATTTCAGAGGGATTGTATAGATGCTTTAGTGGGAACACCCTTTGATTATCAGTGTCTGTTTATTAGTCACTGATAATGCTCAGTATAATTGAGAATGCAAGAAAACTGGAATTCAAAGGCGATCTGAAAAAAAAAATAAATTACAAGGACAGAAGAGTTTKGCATGCATTAAAGTCCAGTTGATAAATTGGGCTGGAGCAGAGTGGAAGGAAACACCGTTTGCATGCTGACACTAAGCAATGTAGCTTCTCCCAGCAGCTATGTCTTGTCACRAGAGCTCTGTCTGGAGCTCCTCAGCTGTCAAAAGCTGGATCCCAGTGATGACATTAATATCAGGAGATCATATTTGTGTGTTATAAATGCTCTGTACTCTATCTGGTAATTGTCTCTTYGGAGCAACTGGCCTATTTAATAATCTGCATAAGCAAGCATGAAGCAGTAGGTGATGGGGCAGTGGTAAATATGAAAGGCTGTTTTCCTTCTGCTCTGTGCTGAATGCTAGACTGAATGCTGAATGCTAGGAAAATGTTAATTTTTCCCGGTACAGAATACCACTTAAAATGGAGAATCTGCCAAGATCTAAAAAGAAGTTGGATATATATATATATATATATATATATATATATATACATGGGAACAAGCTGCAAGGAATTACACTGGAGCAATTTTTGTAGGAATTGGAAAGTCAGTTGGACCATGGTTTTTGTTGCCTTCTAACAGACAGTATTTAATTCCATCCTTCTAAATGGAATGCAAGTCAAAGTGGAATAAAAGTGGTATCACATTGTTTTTTACAGAGAGGGTAACTAATTTTCTTTTGAAATAAGACACCGAATATCCAACCCTATGTGCATTCTGCTGACAATTCTATTGCTACACAATGCTGGTATGCAGATGGCTGGGACAGCAAACTCAGGGACATTTGATGGACCTGCATGACCTTTGTGTCTTAGGATAGCTGTTTTGTTGGCAAGACAATGAATGAGTGAGCAATTCTTGATTTTTTTTGTTTTATGATCATCATGCCCATGACTTGTCTTCAAGCTCCTTTGTGACCTTTGGCAAATAAAGCTATAAACAGAAGAAGATTTAAAATCGAATGTGCAATAGATAACCCCTCAGTCCTCACTGAAAGGTGTGGCATTAGTGCCCATGCCCTTCTGTAAATCCTCATAATTTTGTTAAGCTGGCCAGTGAGCTGCAAACACAATTCCAGTGGCCAGAGGTGGCTGTTCAGTGAATTTAGAGCAGCTGCTTTGAAGCAGCTTTGTGTGTCCTGTAAATTCATGGTGAATGTGCCAGAATTCTCTTCAGCAAATCTATCTTCAGCAAATCCTGCCTTGTCGTGATTTGAGCTCTGTCCCCTGCAGTGCTGCCAACAGCTGATCTTGCTACACTTCTCCTGCACCTGATTAGATATTCTGAATTTTTTTTTTTTGTACTGGTATCACAGTGAAGGAATGTGAAGAAACGCATCACACTTCTGTACTTGAGATAGGAGATATATTTAGTAGTGAATGCAGTGTTTTTGTCAGACTAATGGAGCTCTGAGGATTTGCTTTTGTAAAGAAAGTGAACTAATCTAAGTTGGTCTGAGTAGCATTTTCTGGCAGTGTGATATATGTCCTAATAGATTCTGTAGATTACAATGGTGCTGCCACACTGGGCTGGCTTTTTTTTTTGGGTCCAGGGACTGTGCAGCAGCATGGCACAGTGATATCAGGAAAAAGTCTGAGGCTCTTTTTGGGCTGGATTGTGGAGGGTTTGGAAAAGAGCTACAAGACTAACAGTGTGTGTGTTTCAGCAAAAACTTCTCCAGAAACCAAGGCCTTTCTAATTTACATTGAGTGCTATAGAAGCTAGAAAAAAACAAATTCCTGGGGCTGGAAATAGAAAAAATGCAATTTGGAACTAAGTGCTGAAAATGTGCAGTTTCAGGTCCTTGACTTTTTGATGTCACAGTTAACTGTATTTTTCTGCCTGTTGATTCCTGGACTTTACTCAGACAGAGCCACCAGTGTGGAAACCAGTCCTGAATTTTTAAAACTCAATCACAGGACATATTTTTTACCTTCTCAGTACATATTTTTTTACCTTCTCTTGATGTGGCTACATCTGTCATGGATAAACATGGTAGTATTGCTGTGTAAAGTCACATATACAGTGTTTCAACTATTGTAGGACATTTTGATTCAGAACGTTGAGGAATGTAAAATCATCACAGCCTGTTTTAAAAATAGTTTTAAAAATCCAGTTATGAGGCATGATAGCCAGAGAGGCAGTGAGCTTTGGATTGTAACCAGCAGGCACCTATTCTCCAGGCTGTCCTTATTGACAGCTTTGAAGGAGCTGAAAGCAAACAAAATTGTAACAGAAAGCTCACAGATGGCWGGTGACAGGCATTGGAAGAACCATTATATTGTGTTTTCAATAAAGGGATAAATAGGGCAGAAAGTGAAAAAAAAATACCTTTTTTAATGTTACAGAATTGTTCAGATTGGAAGGAGCTTCAGGAAGTTTCTGCTCCAAGCTTGTGTTTAAAGTACGGTGAGCTAGGAGGTCAGWCCAGGTTACTCTGGGCTTTTTCCAATGTAGTTTTGGAAACCTCTAAGAAGAAAAACTGCCTTGCTGGGCAAACTTTTCCACTGCTWGACTGTCCTCATGATGAAAAAGTTTTTCTTCAATCCATTCAAAACTTCCCTTGTTTCAATTTACACCTGTTGTCTCTYTTGTTAAGGCTGGGCACCTCTGTGAAAAGCCTGGTTCTGTCTTCCTGATTCCCTTCCTCTCAGGGTTTGGAATGGAAATCTTTTGGAATAGAAGTCTCTAGACACAAATCTTTAACAATGATACCAAAGTAACAACATCACATTATTCCAGTAATATAAAATATTAATAAGATTTCTTGCAAGCTGATAGTCTGAATGTGGGGGAGGAGCAATGAGCATGTCCCAGTTTAGCATTTTCTAGGCTAACATATTAATCTTGATGGTGCTGCATCTTTTGCATCCCACTTTTTCTGCCCCAGTGCTTAATTAGTCCACCTGGATACCAAAACATAATTATGTGAGTTCTCAGATGAGTGAACTGCAGAGGGTTAAAAATGATGAAACTGTATCATATCCAGCTGAAGAGAGATGTGCGTAAACAACAGGGCTTAGAAAAGCAAAGAGGATGAATAAATTATAGGAGTGACAATTTGAAGGGCATGATGTGTTTGTTCAGACACCAAAACAGGCTAAGTGGTGATGCAGTGGAAGTCTGCCTTGTAATAAAAACCAAAACAAAGATCCGGTGGCAGAAAATTAAAGACACAGGAGTCTTTTTTTTTCTTTTTTTTTTCCCTTTAGCTGTGAAGCAATTAACCTTTGGAGAAATTCTTTGAGATCTTTCAATTACCCTTCTCTGAGCATTTTTAAATTTCAAGTGAGGGCATTACCAAGTAATTGTGCCCCTGTTCAATGTGTGCTYGTAATTTACTTGTCTTTGTGTAATGTGGATGATCAACTAAAGAATCACAAGTGTTCCTTTCAGACTTATTGCTGACAGTTGATTGTTCTGTGCTTTGTTTTGTGATCGTTTGGGTAAATCTTTACATGTAAAAAACAAAGATCACTGGCCAGGAGCCTGAMTGTATTTGGGCTATTAAGCTGTCTGCATTCAGGTTAACTTCTTTTTATTCAACAAACAAGTTTCTTCTGAAAATTCTCCATGCCCTGCWTAAATCAATCCTGTATGTAAGACACTGAATAGCTCAAACACAACCTTCTGCTTTCTCCCAGATCTGTTACCTCTAATCATCCTCGCTGGATTTGTTTACTATTGAATGGATTTGATCGAAGACTCTTCCACAAAGAAAAATGGTTTGTAGATSAAACAGTTCCTAAGTCAGTCAGGCAGCAATTTGTGCAAAAGTGCACATTTTTTTGGCCTAGGTAAATATATTTGATAAAACTTCAGGAAAATTTGGGATTTACTTCACAGAGCTCATGTCAAGGCTTGTTACCTTGAAGCAAAGATCACACAATCAATTTATGCACCCGCTSCAAGAACAGCAGCCAGGCAACAAAAGCAGTGCCACAGTCTGCAGCTGAGTTCTGCAGGTTGCCTCAGGAAAAAAGAGTATTTTTGCAGTTTTTTGCAGTAGGCTGATTACACCTTTGCATACAATAGAGTGGTTTGTATGAGCAGTTTTGATGGCTTTAATTTCATAGCACTTTTATGGTTCAAATCATAAAGCATTCGTGAAAATGCTTTTACACGCCGATATTTTCCGTCTGGATCAGCAATGGAAAAGTTGACTCTTGTCCTCCTGTGCAGGGGAGAACTTAGGTAGGAAGAATGTTTTTTCCTCAGCGACAAAACAAACATGAATTGAAATAAAACATTGTATTTAATAAGGAGCTATATTCTAGCATCTGTCTGACTGGTTATGTAATCTCCAGTAAATACCAGGCAGTTTTAAAGCCAGCATTTTTAAGGTACATATGAAGAAGAGAAACAATATGAAGATATACTAGTTGCTTGGGGATTTTTTTAAAAGACAGAACCCTTTTTAAAAGAATACTAGACAGATCTAAGTTGATGGCAGAACTGCTGCCTTTGGCTTGCTCTCAAGCAGAGGAATCAATACATTTGTCAATACAAATGCAACACAATTAAAGATATTTATTTATTCTTCTAGGATAGCATAATTTATAATAATATTTATTTATTTATTTATAATCWATAGTCATCTTCTAAAATAATTAAATGCTTTTTAATCAAACAATGAACAGAAATTATTTTAAACAGGGTTTATATCAGCTGTGCAAAGCTTCTAATTTTAATGGGTGATTTCCACCAGAGAACTTCAAAGCAATCAGGTGAGGAGCTGCCTGGCCAACTGATGTCATTYTTAGTTCTACTTTGAATAAGAGGAAAATTTGAAGGAAACACTATGAGGTTGAGGTAACCAATCATATCAGTATTTTATTGGACTCATGAAATGATGGGCAGAAAAATAAAACACTTATCGTAATAAAAAGTTCATTATTAAAGTCAGTATACAGTAGGTGGTACATGCAAGGGACGATGGCAATAACAGCATCAATTCAGATGGTTTTGTGAAAATGTCACTTACCAGACACACTGCACCTTGTAATTTTTACCTTTGAGTTCGTACATCAAAGTGTCTGCCAAACAAAAGTTGGTTAACATGCAAAAATAATGACAGGTGAATTCAAACAACACARTCAAATGTGCCCAGCTCGCAGATTTTGGTCTCATTAAYAGRAACTTTTGCTACAGGATATTCCTTYTGAACATTRCAAGGCATGTAGTGTGGTACACAGCATTTTTGTCAAAGTGTGTGTATATGTATATATTTATATATATATAGTCATAGTAAAGTTTGCAGGTGGTGATGAGATCTACTGGCACAATAAAAAAAGTCAAAATTGGTCTTGCGTAGTAACCTCATAGAATTTAGCATCACTTATATCTCCATTATGAAGCCTCCAGACCTAATCCATGTGGATGATGTCATGGAAGACTTTATTGCATTATATTTATTTAAACTTTATTGCATTGATTTYATGTTTTGCCTCACATTACTTAGTGATTACTAAATCATCTGTTTATCTTTAGTCCAGACATACACCGGAGGGAGAATTCCTGCCACTRGACCAGTGTGAGCTGGATGTTGGATTTGGAACTGGAGCTGACCAGCTGTTTCTAGTTTCTCCTTTAACCATCTGCCACGAAATTAACTCAGAGAGCCCCTTTTTCAGCCTCTCACAAAGATCACTACAAAGCGAGCAATTTGAAATAGTTGTCATCCTTGAAGGAATCGTTGAGACTACTGGTAAGACCTAGAATAATATGCATACTCTAATTTTTAGTCTTTGTTTTCAGTGCTGGTATTTTTAGCAGGGCAGCTGTTCGTCCTGGATGCTCCAGCATTTCCTACCATATGCTGCAGAGCTTCAGTGCCTTTCACCAGCCAATAAGAGACCTCCCTTCCCCACAGGGTTCTGCRTTACCAATTCCCAAAGTGGCCAGTATATCCAAAAAACACAGCCTGCCACTCTTCGACATGTGCAACAGCTCAATGCTCTTATGGAGGTTTCTGTTTTAAGAATATTGAACTTTTATTTTGCCTTTGCTTCATTGTGGGTCTGCAATATTTAATCCAATAATTGAATAAAAATTTAGTCAGTCARTTAGAGGCATTCCACTGACTGTCARAAGATTGTCTAGGAAGAATTGAMCCATTTTATAAAATAWAAAATTGTTGRTTTACAGGCTGCAATKGATTTTTATCTGTCAGCCTTGTGTATTTTTGGTTCTATATGCAAGTCTGCTTGCTCACATTAGAATGCCATGCTGTTTTCCATTTCCACAGGAATGACATGCCAAGCCAGGACCTCGTACACAGAAGATGAAGTCCTTTGGGGTCACAGGTTCCTCCCAGTGATGTCTCTGGAAGATGGCTTTTTCCGGGTCGATTATTCTCAGTTTCATGCTACATTTGAAGTCCCCACTCCTCCTTACAGTGTTAAAGAGCAAGAAGAAAACCTGTCCCTGTCATCTCTTAGTCCTTTTGACAAGAAAACCAGAAGAGAACAGGTTTGTCCACTTGACTGTGTTGATATCACAGGAGAGAAGAATAAGCTGCCTTTAAAACTTCAGAAGATTAGCTCAGGAAGAGAAGGCCTTCCACAGAGAGCCCTGGGAATGAGTTCCAGTAACACAGGGAAGACTTTCAGTACTGGAGATCTCTTGAAAATTCAAGAAATAGGTCCCACYTCTGATGGTGAAGACAGTGATAACAGGATACAAATGAAAGCCTTAAAAAGAAATGCCAAGGATTTGACTCAATCTGCCAACGATCTCGAGTTACAGAAGGATTTTCCAAGTATGGGCACTCTAGAGGTGAAATTAGAAGATAATTTCCCTGCCAAACTTTRAAAAATTAACTCTGATTGCTTCTAAGAGCTGAAGAAACAGGCAGTGTTGCTGATAAACTGCGTTTGAGACTGCTGCCCTGAAAGAGCTGTTTCACAGTAAAGTCATCACTTGGTTTTGCTACTTTCAGCAAGAAGGATCCTTTTTGTATAATTGTTCTGTACAGATCCAATTTGGGTAGCATAATAGGACTTGGAGGGGCAATAAGATTACCCTGTCATGCCAAAGAGATTCCTGCCCTAATGATCTCCATCAGCATGCTCATTCCATGTATGCAGATGCTTTTTCACGATGCAAGGATCAGATCTTTAGTCACAGAATGAAGTTCAAAAACGAAACCAAAAAGTGTGTAACACCAGCTGAARCCTGGTTTTGTGCAGCTCAGATCTTGGACTGTTCCTGATTTAYAGAACAGCAGAATACAAGAGGAATAAGTGACACTGCCCAGTTGTAGCCCAGCTCTGTCCCAGTGACCCCTTTGGAAGGTGGCCTTCCTGATGGCATGCATCCTTCCTTCCCAGGAATTGTGACTCCCTCTGTGCTCCCAGTGTCTCATTCATGATCTTTCATCTGAAGGAAGCAGTTTCCAATAACCATTTGGGTTTATTTGACTCACATGAGTTCTCAAACATGAGGATCATTTATCCTGTCCAGAATTGGACCTCAGCATTTGATTTGGTGGATCACATGTTGAATTTTAATGACCATATCACCACTCACTGTGAAGGAAACTTGAGACCGGTAGCTCAACTTAATGGAATATTTTATACTGCAACTAAATGAAATTTTAGTTTGGAGACACTGTAAGTAAATAAAAGCAAAGTGCTRAATAGTGCTTTGTCATTACACATCTCAGTTTTACTAATGAATGGTAGTRTGTTTGGTGTTGCTAATTTTAATTTTGTTATATTTGCCTTCTCTATTTACATATGATTCTCAGTAATTTTGTAGATCTGATATTTATTGCTATTCAGCTCAGTCTGTGAAAGAGGCCTTTCCTTCCCTGGTTGTTAGTCAGTGTAAAYACACCTTGCTGTTTTATAGGCACTATTCAGTAGCTCAGCGTATCAGGTGTTTATCACCAAAGCAGCAGCAGCAGCAAAGCACTCTCCAGCAGAAGGATCAAATTCTGCTCTTGCTTTGTGGACAAAATTCAGTCAAATTTAAAAGGGGTGGCAGTGGCCATGTTGTTTGGCAATGCCTTCCTGGATGGTAAAGTGATATATCCAAGCCAGGAATAACTTGGCTTGCAGAAATCACTGTTTCTTTCTTTTCATCTGTCTACAGTGTGAAACTGGAAAATGGTATTTTATGCAGGGATAAGATTTGCTGCTTGTTGTTGTTTATTTGTTCTCAACATGGATTTCAACAATATGTATGTGCTAAAATCTGTATTTTCATTTATTAACTGTATTTGTATGGAATATTTAGATGACAGCATGAAGTCTTAAATCATGATGATGACTCTCCCTACTCTTCAGAACAGCCAAAATTAGTATAAAATAAAATYACATCCACCTTGGGTCTCAAGCCTCCTTTACTCGAACGTGCACGTGTGTGTTGACAACAAAGCAGCTCCAGAGGTGATGCACCATCCTTGGGGACACTCCCCCTGTGCTGTGGGGCAGGAACTGGGGGGATTTCACTCATTTTGTGGGTAAAAATGGGGGGCTGGGGAAGTCTGGGAGAGTGAGAATGGGAGAGTGAGAATGGGAGAGTGAGAATGGGAGAGTGAGAATGGGAGAGTGAGAATGTCAGTAGGAGCACCCCAGTGGCACTGGGAGAGTGATGATGTGGAGGGAGAGGGTGAGTGGGGAGCAGATGGCTCATACAGGGTCCATCCAAAAATGGGAGGTTACAGCCCAAAACAGCATTAAAAGAGGTTCAAAAGCAAACTGCATTGTAAAAAAAAAAAATAAATTAGCTAGTCCTCCCACACTCTTGAGACTAAACCAGCTGATACCACCAAGACAATAGAGTTTAAACTGGAGGGAGTGCAGGGCTGCAGTACCTGTGTGTGAATACATCTTGATATTCATCTTTYTAATAATAGCTTTTCTATTTTACCAGATTGGTCTGAAAAGACAGGCTKAAAGGTGACAATAGGCAACTTTATTTCCACAACTAAATCAACTTCAGCTTTTGTGTGCGTGCAAAGGAGGAAGGTGGGCAGGACAGAGGACACCTTTGACCCTGAGGCTGCCTCTGGATCAGAAGGCACTGCCCCACTAGGAAATGGTCACAGCCCACTGCAGCCTGCACTGCATCCTGTTCATCCTGCTGCTCCTGGCTTCTTTCCCATTAGTCTCAGCAGCATCTCGTGCACCCGAGTTAAGAACTGCACAAGGATCTGGTACGGATGTGGAGCAGGTCTAGACCAGACTGGGTGTGTTGGCAGCAGCGGYTCTGGCTGCTCGGAGGGGGTTGAGSYGGGGGTTGGCTTTGGTGTTGGTGGTGTGGCTGTTACTACAGTTGGCTGTGGATGTGTAGTGGGTGTGGGTGTGGTGCAGTTTGTTGGTGTTGGCTCTGGCTGCTCAGTGGGGGCCCAGGTGGGGGTTGGCTGTGTTGTTGGAGCAGCCGTTGTTGCAGCCGTTGTTGTGGTTGTTGTTGCAGCTGTTGTTGTGGTTGTTGTTGTTGCAGCTGTTGTTGTGGTTGTTGTTGCAGCTGTTGTTGCAGCTGTTGTTTTAGTTGGCCGTGGATGTGGAATGGGAGTGGTGCAGTCTGACTCTGTTGGTGTTGGCTCTGGCAGCTTACAGGGGGCTGCGGTGCCGGCTGGCTCTGCTGTCTCAGGTGGGCACAGCCCCATCTGGCCCACGATCCAATCGTGGAAGTGCTGGGTGGAGGTGTARACCCCGGGTCKCTTTGCTCTGGCACAGCCTTTTCCCCAGCTGGTCACTCCAACGAGCCAGAAGTAGCTGGCACTGTTATCTTTGCACACCAAGGGCCCTCCGCTGTCACCCTGCAGCAGACACACGAGGATTAGGGTGCTGTTGGGTGGCTGCTGTCAGCACTACAGGCTTGCTTCTCTCTTGCAGCCCCTGTCACAGCAGTGTTCCTGCCCCAAAAAGGCTCTCCAGAGCCTTAGCTGGGAATGGTTTGGGTGTCTGTAAAGTAGGGCCCGCTCTGGGATCTGGTCCCAGATGTGCAGAGGATGAATGATCCAGYATCTGCACCTCTGGGCTTTCTGRRCAGAGTGCCAGGCTTTGGGAGCACGGGCACAGAGCAAGGACCCACAGACACAGTGAAGGAAACTCCACCAGCAGTGGGAAGGTGATTTGCCAGGCACAGCCATGCTGGCCTGTGTTTGCAAGGTGGAGATGGGGCTGTCTCTGCTCTCCTACCTGGCAGGTGTCCATGCCACCCCGAGGGTAGCCAGCACACAGGTTGTGGGGGTGGATGGCCCCAGCGTATCCTCGGCTGCTGTTGATGAGATGGGTGTCGAGGAGACGGACCCTGGCCTCGTGCAGGACATCACTCGGGCCGTGAGCTGTGAGCACGGGAAGGAATGAGCACCCAGCAGTTCTTGCCAGTTCTAGTCCCCTTTGTGGGGTGAAATCCTTCCCTGGGGCTTGACTGTGACTCCAGAGCAGCTGTTGAAGGGCTGTGTCCTTTCTGCCTGGCTTTGGGGGGCAGACCAGGCCATCCATCCCACAGCCTGACTTTGGTCTCTGCTGTCAGGAAGCCCAACCCATTTGTCCCGTGTGCCCAGCTGTGTGCCCAGCTGTGTGCCCAGCTTGCCCTCAGGGCCTGGCCCCTTTCTGGGAACTCACCCTTTGCACTGGGGGAGCTCCAGCCAGCAATGTAGCAGCTTTTCAGGTCTGACACCGTAACCGAGGCRTTRGGCACGCAGGCAGGYTGGATGTAGTCACTGCACTCCACGGGCTCGTCCAGCTCCAGCAGGGCAATGTCGTTCTGCTGGGAAGCAGCAGCGTAGTGCTGGTGAGCCAGGAGCCGCTTGATGTGGCGTACCTGCACCTCGGGGCCCAGGTGAGTCAGGTGGGTGGCCCCAATCAGCACCCGCCACAGGGTGACATTCCTGCAGGGCAGAGATCACTGGGGTGAGAGGGAATGTTCCTGCAGGGCAGAGATCACTGGGGTGAGAGGGAACGTTCCTGTAGGGCAGAGATGGGGTGAGAGGGAATGTTCCTACAGGGCAGAGATCACTGGGGTGAGAGGGAATGTTCCTGCAGGGCAGAGATGAAGTGAGTAGGAATGTTCCTGTAGGGCACAGGCGGGGTGACAGGGAACGTTCCTGTAGGGCACAGATGGGGTGAGAGGGAACGTTCCTGTAGGGCACAGATGGGGTGACAGGGAACGTTCCTGTAGGGCACAGATAGGGTGAGAGGGAACGTTCTGTATGGCAGAGATGAAGTGAGTAGGAATGTTCCTGTAGGGCAGAGATGGGGTGAGAGGGAACGTTCCTGTAGGGCAGAGATGGGGTGAGAGGGAACGTTCCTGCAGGGCACAGATGGGGTGAGAGGGAACATTCCTGCAGGGCACAGGCGGGGTGAGAGGGAACGTTCCTGCAGGGCAGAAATGGGGTGAGAGGGAGCAGAGCCGTGGCTGGGGCAGCTCAGCACTCCCCAAGGCAGAGAGGAACGAGGGGCAATGCCGAGTGTGGCTGCCCTCAGGCTCTGGGAAGGGCTGGCTGGAGGATGCTCTCAGGCTCTGGGAAGGGCTGGCTGGAGGCTGCCAGGGCAGCAGTGGCACCAGCCCAGCCCTCTGAGCAGCCTCAGTGGGGCTCTGCAGTGCCAGGGCACTGGGCACACTGCAAGGAACCAGGATGGCAGTGGTCCGTGGTGCTGCAGGCTGGGCAGCTCTCTGTGCTCTGGGATATCCTCTCTCCTTGCTCCTCCTTACCTGGCCCGCAGGAAGCAGTGKGCTGCTGTCAGGACCCACTGGGGGCTGATGAGAGCCCCTCCACACGTGTGACCCGTGCCGATTTTCCTGGGATCCTGGATGCTGACRATCCAGGGCCAGGCCCCTGGAGGGGCACCTCTGCCATGCACCACGTGTGGCATTCTGTAGTCAGAAGCTACGGAGTGGTAGCCAGAAGCCATGGGCCGGAGCCCGCAGGTCCCTCTGAAAGCAGAAAGCCATCACTGCTGATGCACATGGTCTATATCAAAGTGACAAGKTACTTATGAGGTACTTATTATGTTATCAATATAAGCACATAATAACTTTTTACATATTATTAAAATACAATGTAATCACTTCCAATATATTATCAATGATAGCCTTTTTTATATATTGCTGTAAGGTTTTGAATAGTGTATTAGCAACATACAGGGTACCAGCTGCAGGTAATCTAACCAGCTAGATTAGTACATAGATATGTGAAATCACCAAAAGGCATAAATCAGAAAAAGTTCTGAAGAAAGTAGACAGGTAGATGCTGTAACAGGGAACAGTAGAGAGCACTAATGAGAACTTGGAGAAGCATGGGACAATCAGCAAAATAATTAGAAATTATGACTTGGAGGACCAGAAAAAAACCCATGAATGTCACAATTGCACATGCAATGAAGACAAAGGTGAAAAGTCCACCGTGATGAAGGTGATGGTCTCTCTTTAGAGGGACATCCCCACGACCACCGAATTGAGGATAACACATAAGCACTTGTAAAACTGTGATACTGTGCATTTCCGTGCCCAGGGATGGTGGTGGGTGTATGGTGGGCATATGGGGGGCAGTGACAATGGTAATGTTACACCATGCTCACTGTATAAATATGTGCTAATTTAAAGCAAAGGCAGGTGGGTTAGGAGGAGAAATMCCCCTCACCTCCAGCACTGCAATAAACAAATACCTGCTCTATAGAGTTTTATTTCTAGGCCTGTTTTGGGCATCACTGCCCTGCCCAACAGCTGCTGCTGCTCAGGCTGTGCTCTCCCCCAGCACCTGTGGTTCCCATTTAGGGTTTGGGAAGACACTCTGTGGCAATGGGGCACAAGCAGGCCTGTTCCAGGGGATCCAGGGAATGCCCACACACCMTCMCAGARCCYGGGGCYGCTCACCTGCAGGTGTCCCAGGTGCCATGTGCAGGCCGGTACACAGCCAGCAGCATGAAGAGGAACAGCAAATACATCACTGCCAGTGGCAGCTGCAAGGAACAAGAGCTTGTCTCTTCCAGTGCAGCCACAGAGGCGAGTGCCTGYAGCAGCAGCATTGCCCATGGCACCCGCAGCCTGGGGGCTGATGTCACAGAGTGGCTGGTTCCAGGTTCTGGGTGCCCTCAGAAGGGCCACAGCCTCAGAGATCCACGGCATGGTATGGGCTGGAAAGGACTTGGAAGGTTGTGCAGGGCAAAAAGGGTCCCGTGCCTGGYGCCTGCAAACAGCACCATGGGCAGACAAATCTGGCACAAAGGGAAAGAATCACTCTAAAGGGWGWGTGTGGTCAGAGAGGGTGYTCAGAGCCACCACAGGATGGAGAAAATTGGCCCATCAAAGCTAAGAAGAGGACAGGAAGAAGCAGTGCACAACTTGGGGGGATGCATTAAGGCACACAGGCTGCTGATGTGGGCCCAGCACAARCCTTGGCTAATGGAACAAATGGAGAAATTGCTGACTGTGGCAAAGAGTGGGAGGAGCTGACAGGAATTTCACTGCCCTAATGAAGGCCTTGTGAGCCTGTTTACACATTTCCCATGTTTGGAGCAGGTGAGTACTGCAAATGCCTCAGTGCTGCTTCTTGCTTTGGAGGTCATGGCTGCAGAACACGAGGGGCTGGGATGGAGAGAGTTTATGCCCTCACAGTCATGGTTTAGGAATGGTTTTCCCCAGTCTAGTGGTTCCCACSGCAAACCACAGGCAGCTCACTCCCCTCTCCCTTTCCCCTCCCTTCTCCARTGGGCTTGAGAGGAGAACTGGAAACACAAAAGRTAAAGATCATGGGTTGAGACATGAGAAATGTACTGGAAACAGCAGTGAAATAAGAAAATTTAAACATCACACGTTGAGACAAGAACAATGTACTGGAAACAGCAATGAAATAAGAAAATGAACAGTAACAGCAACAATATTAATCATGGMATATACAATGGAGTGGAACAATTCACATGCAATAATTTACCACGTGGAGACCGGCAAGACCTGACCCGGCCACCACCCAGAAGGGACTTCTTCCCCTGTCCCCAGAAAATGRTRTGAGGTGCTACAGAACAATCTCCAGGTCCTGGCTATGCCTCATCCTGATTACTGCAATGATTTACCCTCTCCTGGCTCAACTTCACCATCTACAACACAGCTTTTGTCTCTGTGCCAGAGGCACTGGTTCCCTGCACGCCAGAGGGCAGCCAGCAGAGATGAGCAGATTTTGGAAACCCTTCACCTCTCACTCTGTCCCCCTGGTTTTCCTCATTTTATGGAATGGAAGGACACATGTCCAACTCCTCCCAGTGTCCCCTTCACTCAAAATCCTCTGTGCCTTGATTGCTTTTCTGACATCTGGGAGAAGCAGTGGGCAAACCCAAGGCTTTGGGTGAAGGTCCTTCCTCCAACACTTCCCCTGCAGTGCACCCAGGGAGGCTGTGGCAGCACAAGCTCTCCTGGGCTTCACTGTTGCCTTGAAAGGCCAGTTTTTAATAATCACACAGACACGGTTAAGGGGATAAAAAGGGTTTTACCTCGGTATTTGGGATCCCAGGTGCACAACTTGATGGCAGAATGCACACCCGTGTACAGCATGGGTACAAGTTTTATAGGTTTCAGGAATTAGCATATCTATTCAGGATTCCTCAATAAGAAACTTCACAAATGCAGTAATGTCCCCCTATTGTAATGAATCCCCTCCTGGATGAGGCCAGAGCCCAGTTTACACAAGATGTTCTGGACAGAAGGCTGAGCTCGGGTTTAAGATAGCACAGGGCACRCTGACTCCTTCCTCAGGATGTTTGGTCTCTGCCCAGCAGAAATCCTAAACTAAGCTGGAATATCAGGGKACAGGAATTACAAACGTGGGCTAAGCAGTACAGGGTGATGCATAGAGAGCGTAAAAAGGAAAAGCAAAAATCATCAGGCATCATCACAACATCACATCCGGATGGAATGGATGGATGGAATGGAAGCTTTTCCCTCACCATTCACACACTTCCCTGGCCTGTGCTCCTCACCCCACAGGGATGCCACAGAGGGGTTTCCAAACTTCACACACTGCTGACGTTCTGGGGTGAGGCTGAGGCTTTTCTGGAGCATCAGCTCCATGCCYCAGCACACCCAGGCTCTCTACTGACATTTGCAGCTTTTCTGTCATCTGCAGGGAGTTGGCTGAAAAAAATAATCCTCTAGAAAGGACACAAACCCAGGATTCAGCAGCACCACCTAAGAATTCAGCAAGGTGCCCTGGGGACAGCTGGGTCAGGCAGGGACAGCTGGAGGGATCACAAGGCCTCACTTTGTACAACACAAAGAAAAAGGCTAAATAAATGCTGGGATGAAATATATTTGTGCTGGGAMTGCTTCATTTAGCAAATAAGTTACCAGGCAGATTCCCAGCAGATGTTCTGGGTGACTCTGGGAGCTGGGCCTCTTGCTGGCTCTTGCTCCAKTCTCTGGGCTCCCAGTTCCCAAAAGCTCTACAGGTAACCCCTCCCCAGCAACAGCTCTTGGGGCTGAGAAGTCAAGGGTGGGGTAAATCAGAAGGACTTGGGGAGCTCAGAGAGAAAAATAATTCAATTGTTGGAAAATAGACTAGTTACAAAATTTTGGTATAAATTCAGTCAAAGATTTTGTTTGCCCTGGGGGAAGGGTTTCTTTCCTGGGCATTTTTCCAGATGAAAAATGAGATTAATATCTCACTTTAAGATATATTAATATCTCATATTAATGAGATATTAATGAGACTAACATCTCAACAGAGAGGGAGTGGCACAGAAGATAAGGACAATCATCAGTGACACTATGATAMATAAATTTAGAAAATAATGTCTTGACTTTCTGACTGATACCTATGGTTTATGTCAAAGTGACAATGTGTTTATGAGGCCTATGATTGAAAACTTTCTATAAACTTTTTTTGTATTACTAATATACAATGTAAAAGCTTTCAATATATTATCAATAATAGCTTTTTTATATATTTTTATAAGTTTTTATACAGGGTATTAGCAACATAAAGTGTATCTGCTGCATGTAATCCAGCGGGATTAGTATGTGGACACGTAAAATCGCCAAGGAGCAAAAATCAGAAAAAGTTCTGAAGAAAGTGGACAGGTAGATGCTGTAACGAGGAACAGTAGAGAGCATAATGAGAACTTGGCAGAGGCACAGGACAATCAGCAAAATAATGGAAAATGAAGACTTGGAGGACCAGAAAAAAACCATGAATGTCACAACTGTGCATGCCCTGAAGACAAAGGTGAAGAGCCCACTGTGATGAAGAGGATGGGATCTCATTAGAGGGAGACTCCCACGAGCACAGAATTGAGGATGACACATGAGCACTTGTAAATCTGTGATATCGTGTATTTCTGTGTCCATGTATCATGGTGGGCGTATGGGGGACAGTGACAATGGTAATGTTACACCATTCTTGCTGTATAAATATGTGCTAATTTGTATAAATATGTGCTAATTTGTATAAATATGTGCTAATTTGTATAAATATGTGCTAATTTGTATAAATATGTGCTAATTTGAAGCGAAGGCAGGTGGATTAGCAGGAGAAATCCCCCTGACCTCCAGCGCTGCAATAAACAAATACCCGCTCTATAGACACCGGTSTRTSGAGTTTTATTTCTAGGCCTTTTYCAGGCATCATAACATTAAAATGTTGTTGGARARTTTTCGTTTTTCCCAKTTTCAGTGACACAATCACCCGAMATGGGTGTACCASCCGGCCTGCTCCRCTCAGAGCCTCAGGGATGGYTAYWGCTCTGCYTAACGACAGAGAGACCGTGGGCCGGGAAGAGCGCACGGAGAGACGGAAACTTCCAKCGCTTTGGGTCTGAGGCAGCCGGGGCAACTCCAACGCCTCCCGAGCCGCCGTGCCAGACACGTGCGGAGACCGGGAGCTCTCCCCACCTCGCAGCTCCCTCCTCAAGCGCCCCGAAACGCCTCCCGCGGCCTGTCCGTCGAAACCGGGGCCGCCATCGTGCGCGCCGCCAGCACGGAAGGACCCCGTCACCATAGCGACCGGGCTGCCCGCGCAGCGCCTGATAGAACGCACCACGCGGCCACCGTGCGCGCCGGCTGAATGGAAGGACCCCGTCACCATAGCGACCGGGCTGCCCGCGCGGCGCCTGAGTGGAACGGCCCGCAGTGCCCCTCGGCCCTGGGCCCGCATTCCCGGCCCGGCTCCTTCGTGCGCGGGCGGGTCCCGCTGAGGGGAGGACAGGGCTCTCGGTGCCAYCCTGGGGGCTCCCGGTGACCGAGGGCAGGGCTGAGCGCTCCATGAGCTATGTGTGGCCTCGGGTAGGCCGAGCGGCTTTCTGACCATGGAATGGAAGTGTTCCGGCCTAAAGGAAGCAATCGGGAGCCAAAGTCAGTTTTGTTTAAGGCAGTTGGGTGCCTTCTTGGTTGGTTACCCCCTGATTTTTGTCTAAATCTTGCAGTGGTTTTAATGAGGCCTCAAAATGAAGTGCACAAAGCAGATCTTCCCCAAAGCTCCCTCCCAGCCCAGAGGGACTAGATTAAACCTCTGGTGGGAGTGTCACTGAAAACTTCAGGAAATATAAAAACCCTCCAAAACCTTTTTTTTTTTTTTTTAGTGTTAGGGAATCCAGGCATTACATTATTCTGGCCACGATGTTGTTCTGGCCAGGATGTGCCACAGAAATAATTTCATCCACACATTGCCCAGGTTGTGCAGAGAAAATCACTGCATGACACATGAATTGTGTGTCACAGAGAGGCAGAAATGTGGCACCTGACYTTGCCTGCCCAATGCTTGCTATCCTGAGAGCAATCTAACCAAAGTTAGCTGGTCAGAGCTGGCCTTCAGGATAGCTCAACTTCTTCCTTTGCTACTCACATACCTGCTTTTTTCCTGATGATTTATTGTTTACTGTCCCTTTCTACTCAACTTTTATCCTCTCACGGGTAATTATGATTTGTGTATTGGGATGGATCATAGAGGAAGGATGGGATAAAA